TGCATGCACGCACGCACGCACGCACACACACACACACACACACACACACACACCCTAGTTCAACCCTTAGGACCAGCATGCATGCATGCACGCACGCACGCACACACGCAAACACGCATGCACACACACACACACACACACACCCTAGTTCAACCCTTAGGACCAGCATGCACGCATGCACGCACGCACACACCCACGCAAACACGCACACGCGCGCATGCACACACACACACACATACCCTAACTGCTTTAGTGGTTACTATTATTGTATGTATTATTACAGTGGTATATTATTTTAAACCTTTTACTCAGGTTACCTTCCTGTTTCTTTTTAGACCTTTTCTTTGATCTCTGAGTTACACAGTTATCAAATATTTCAGGAATTTTTAAGAATGTTACTGATTTTTAATTTATTTTATTTTATTTTTTTTGCCAGTCCTGGAGCTTGGACTCTGGGCCTGGGCACTGTCCCTGAGCTTGTTTTGCTCAAGACTAGCACTGTATCACTTGAGCCACAGCACCATTTCTGGCTTTTTTTGTATATGTAGTAATGAGGTATCAAACCCAGGGCTTCATGCATGTGAGGCAAGCACTCTACCACTAAGCCACATTCCCAGCCCTTGATTTTTTAATCCTATTAGTAACAGAGATAATATAAATCTATCTTTTTAAATCTGAAATTATTGAATAGGCATGTTCTGCCTCCACACAAATTCCATATGCACTTGAGAAAGATGGGTGTCTGCTGTTGCAGGGTAGAATATTCTATAATTATCAGTTTCTGTTGGTTGATAGTGTTGCTCATATCTGCTATATTGTTGCTGATTTTCTGCCTATTTACCCATACAGAGAGACATTAAATTTGATAATGTGCAATTGTGCATTTCTCCTCAGTTGTTTTTGCTTCATGTGTTTTGAAGTTTGGTTTTTCACTAGTTGACTATAAAGGCAAACATCTTCAATGTTTTCTGTCCACTGTTTCTGACATCTCTTGCCTAATTTACGTGCTTTGTAGTAATTTTTAAAACTATGAACCTAGATTGTGGAACCTTTTGAGTTCCCTCAAAACAAGAGGAACTTGTACACATGCACACTTACATTTCTGCCCAACTTCAGAGCAATAGTTTCCTTTAGCACAGGCAGTCTTCCCTGCTGCTCCAGAAGCTGAGGGGATGAGGATGTGAGGGAACAGACAGCTCCAGTCACAGTTTGCCTGGTGCTAAGTCTATGCTTTTGGGGAGTCTCAACTTTATGTCTCCCTCCTGGTTCTTCTACCCTGTCAGGACCTAAGTTTTCTTGGCTTCTCTGCTGCTCCTCCCTCACCTGAGGCTGTCAAAAGAAAATTCACATTCTTCTAGTTACTCTGGATTTTGGCTTCCATTGAATTTTTTGCTTTTCCTTTTTAAAACTCAAATTTCAATTTCTGAATACAATTATAGTATATTTTTTCCCTGTATATTGTGAAAGCTGTTTTTTTGTTGGGTCCACACCAGACACATTGCTAGAAATAAAATGGAACTTGTTGGTTAACAGTTCCAAGTTCCCACAGGTCCCTCCCTGATCCAGAAGCAATAAACACAGTGAGAACAGCTGATGAGGACTCAGGCTGGCCTGACATCCAGGCTCATCTACTAGCAGAGAGAACTCAACAGCTTCCTGACCATCCTGTGCTTCAGTTTCCTCATAGGGGTGAGGAGAAATTGAGGAGGGAATCAATGAAGAGCCTTACCACAAGGACAGGTCTTGGGAAGGGTGATACAGGTCTTCTCATTGCTTGATGAAAGCTGCAATGAGCAACAGCAGCCCTTACTCAATGGTCCCCTCATTCCAGCTGTCATGACAGTGCAGTGAACACAACCTGTGCTTGCACTGACGGAGAGAACAAGCCAGTCACTGAGCATGCACCCGCTGCCACGTAGATAGGCTGTGCAGGCCAGAATGCCAGCAAATGGTGAGCTGAGGAACATCATCAGTGCACAGACCCACACATACACAAATGAAGAAATCAGAAAACAAGTGACTACAAATAAACAGATTTTAAAATTCAGTATTGCTTAGGGAGGACAGTCATCGAGTGTTCCAACAGCCATCTGAAGCCAGTAGTCCTGGTTATTAAAAATCACAAAGTTGTACATATGTTCACCTCCTTTGTGAAAATCATGCTCATTCTCTCTCCAGGAAACAGGGCTGTCTGCAAAGCCTTGAACTGACAAGGTAATCCACGGAGCCAGCTTTGGTTCATCAAAGTAATGACTGAAAAAGACAGATCATCCTTAACAAAATGGGAGATGGAGGAATGTCCATACTTACTTTTTAAAAATACATTCACTGTTGAAAACGAACTTTATCACTTGGTGGGGAGGGGGGATGTAGAGGGAGGAGTTTGGGAGGTATGGAGGGAAGGGATAGTAGGGGAAAAACAAAGGTGTGGCTAACAATGCTTGATAGGAAATGTACTCATTACCTTACTCATATAACTGTAACCCCTCCGTACAGTATCTTTACAATTAAAAAAAAAGAATCTATTCAGGATGTTCTAATGATCTTAGAGTCTGGCTTTAACTTATACAAACTAGCAGGTGCAGAGTAAGTTCCTAATGCTATATTGTAAGTTCCATAAAGATCAACACACTACACACAAAACAAAAGTCACAGTTCTCCCCCTACTTCTGGAACATTGCTGAAGACTCAAAGAACCATGTTAGGGGTTCAGCTAAGGGTAGAACACTTGTCTAGTGTGTGCAAGGCCTGGACTTGATGCTCAGTGCCACAAAACAAACCAACAATGACAAAAAAAAACCCAAACCACAAAACCCCACACAGTATATAAGGATGTTTGTAGAATGTCACAGAGTAATTCACCAAATTCATCAAAAACTGTCCCTTTTATTGTAGAAAACGAAAGTACTAAGCTAATAAATAGAAAAAAAAAAGATACTGGGTTCAAAAGAGAAAACCCAGTCACAAGTGCCTCAAATTTGCAATACTAGCTACTCAGGAGGCTGAGTAGTTAGAGAAGTTTGAAGCCAGCCTGGGCAGAAAAGCTGACAAGCCTCCATTCCAATGAACAAACCAAAATTTGGGCTGGAGGAATGGTACAAGTGGTAAAGTGGCAAGCTGAAGAACATGAGTTCAAACCGCACTGGTGACTAAGACAGGGATGGGGAGAACACTGAAGACTTTAATATGAAGGTATTTTAAAAGGACAGAGAAAACACTAAACAGGATAATTCTCTGTCCTCACATTAGATCCAACGCACACATTGTATTTATAGTTATATATGACCTCCCCACATGACAAAAAAAAAAACAAAAAATAAAAACCCTACCACTCTATTCAACACTTAGCATACTGTTAGTGCTTAGTGAGTCAAAGAACTCCAATGCTGGACAAATCTTAGGTATGTTTGGGCTGATCAACTCTCTTCTACCCTATTTCTGTCCACACCATTTCAGATTAAACATTTTGTACATCTCTAGTACTAAAAGTTAAATGTAATTCATCCCACATTCATTTTTGGGGGGTTTGTTTTTTTTGAGTGATGTTCTAACTGATTGCATCAAAATGGCTCAGAGTAGAGAAGCAGGAGAAAGAGTAGCTTGTCTGCTCCAAACCTCTGCCTACCTTTTCATTAGAACAGGTGACTGACTCTAGCACATTTCTCAGCAAAGATGACTAACCCAGATGAAACATAACATTTCTACACTAGATCCCAGGCCAAGAAAAGGGGCATGCCGTATGCTCAGTAGGCCACTAGGGCACAAAAAAAAAAAAAAATGTAAAAAAGGTGCTTACCACAGCCGTTCCAGCAGGACACAGATCTTCTCTGGAAGGATGAGGCCAGTGATTGTACACAAGCAAGCCCTGGCCACCACTGTGCTTGGCTGGGGACAGCAGTAGGTTGACACAAAATTATTAGGCTCATTATTTCTATCATGGAAAAAAAGAGGAGATATTCAGAACTACTGTGGAATCACATCCTAAGGAGTACATGTCTAACAAAATAAAACAGCAGGGCACAGCCCTGCCCAATTCCCAAGTGTAGATACCTACAGGTCTGCATTACAGAAGACTGCGCCCAGCCACTCAAAGAGCTCTGGGGCACCGCAGGATGACTCTGGCTCTCCTTTAAGCTCACTGCTCTGCAGCACCGGGCACTGCAAATCATTCACTGTGCTCAGCTCTACTTTAGGTTGATGCTTCTGAATTTGGTATTTGGAAAAGTATGACATCATTGTTGAATCTGTTGCACCTTCAAACACACACATATAAGACTGTGTGAAAATCACAAACAACTCTAGTGAATCCCCAGAAGTAATTCGTTCCCTTTCAGCACCATGGGAGACTGGTAGAATTAACATGGCAGATGTGCAAAACGGGGTTCAGCTTAGATCATTAAATCTGCTAACTGTTGCTCATACCACACTTCCGTAAACACTTAGATTCTTTCATGCTTTTCCAGGAAATACACAGTGCTTTCGGACCTGCTCTAAATTACTTTCATTTGCTCCAAGAAGAACATTTCAACTCTATACACAAAACCCAAGTGTATGAATATTACTGAACTACAGTATAATCTATACAGTAAACCTAAGAGACAACCAATGACAACTTCCCACAGAAAAATAGTTAATGTAGGCAACAACCTTGGGAGGTAAGAATAGAAGGCCCTCCACAGGACAGGGCAGCCTGCTTACTGCCCAGTGTCACACCTTCTGTCTCCTCCCACACAGAAGCACGCTCTCTGCCCAGTAGAAATCATCTTGGGTTTTTTATTCCATTCCAAGATGGAACCTTCTGTGTGTGCGAGCATCATTGGCCAATTTTGTGTCATTCTGGGACCTGGGACTAGGTGAACTGCTGCAAGTGCCAACTCTCACAAGATGGTGAATTTCAGGTGTCATGTTAAGTGGAGAGCAGGTAAAGCACTGTCTTTGGGTGTGTGTGAGGGTATCCACACACTGCCATGGCAGTGAAGGGACTGCCCTTGATGGAGGTGTGCATCATCTGGCTGGCTGGGAGCCCAGGACAAGCAAAGGGACAGTGGAAAGGGAAATTTGATCTCTCTTCTGGAGATGGTACGTTCTGGAGAACATAAAGCCCTTCTACAATTTATTAAGAAAGGTGGAAAAATCATGAATATAACCTTGATATAACTCCAGACATGCCTCCAACTTCTCTGTCCTTGGGACTCCAGGACTTGTACACATGGTCCCCTAAGTTCTCAGACCTGTGGCCTTGGACTGAGGAAGGCCAACAGCTTGTCTGCTTCTGAGGCTTCCAGACTTGGGTGGGCATTTCTAGTCTCTAGCTTACAGATGGCTGTGACAGACTTCTTGTCCTCCACATGGTATAAACAGTTTCTTCTATTGAGTTGGTCACTGTCTGCCTGTCTCTCTTTCCTAGGATGACTGCTATACAAATGAAATCCTTTGTCTTGGACAGGAGTTGCTACTTTATTAGCTGGCAGACTGAATCTCAGAATCCACAGTTCCTGAAAAGCTCTGAAAGCAGTCAGAAGGCTTAGAAGCAGAAAGCCACATAAACTCCACTGCAGAGAAGACTTCAAGAGATGGTGACTTCTGTAAATCTCTCCCCCTTCTGCCTACCACATGCTTCACTAAGTGACATGGATCTTCACAGAACTAGGATCTAGGGAAGCAACCTTGCTTGGCTGTGACCAGAAGTCTCCCACAAGGAGCAGAAGAACATGAACATTTCCAAAATGGACCCACATGCTTCCCCAACCTCCCAAACAAGAGCACTATACCATCATACTTCCTCATGAGTGGATCATATATAGTTGGCCAAAGACATAATGCTTGAATAGGAGCAATGGTAAGCAGATTAACAAACTTAATAAACAAACCTAATGAACATCAAAATTTAAACTAAATTTAGTGTTGTAGTCAACTACAAGTTACAAGTTTGAAATGACACTTAATGGTATACCTCTGTTAGTGCCACTAGCAATGAGCAAACAGATCACATAGGTCTGTATAACTAGGGGTCTCGTGAAACACTGTAGCCAAGACTACAAGGTGAGCTGGAGGAAAGGAAGCGGAGAAACAGGGGAAAGCTGCCTTCTTTGAACTCAGTTTTAGGATGTCTGAATCTACAGAGAATCCACGAAGATTTAGGCAAATGTTTTCAGACCTAGCTTATTCTGAACTATGGTTCTCAGACCAAGACAAGCAGCTTTTTAAATAATGTTTGAACAAAATACCCTTCACTAAAGTGATGAATAAAAAAAATCAACAGTTATTAGCTTTCAAAATCATCATTGTGTTAAGAGCCTGGAGCCATAGGCTCATGCCTGTAAGTTTAGCATTCAGAATGCTAAGATTTGAGGATTGAGGTTTCAAACCCATCCAGACAGAAAAGTCCATGAGACTCTTATCTCCAGCTAACTAACAATAAGCCAGAAATGGAGCTGTGACAATCTTGAGCAAAAAAACCATTCACTGAGATCATGAAGCCCTGAGTTTAAGCTCTAGATTGGAACATACACACATACAAAAATCATTATACCATTACAAATATTTGTTCTTCATACCTGTAGAATGCCAAGCCAAAAGGAAATCAAACTTCAAAGGCTTCTTTTCTTTGAAGGACCAACATATTCTTTTATACTTCTTAGACTCCAACATAAAGGATGAATCCATCAAATCAATGGAAACAACTTAAAAGTAGAAAAAAGAACAGATATTTCATTCTGATATACATAGTGTGCACATTTTTACAAAGTTTATTATACTGAAAATGATGTTGCTCTTCTTCACTCCTTCAGTTCATCAAGTCTAAACTATCTTTGCAGTGGGTATTTCTAGAATAAGAGCTGTCAACAACAAGTATTATCTTTCTCAGATCAACAAACTAGAACAGGGGTCCCCTGAATCCACTGTGGATGCGGCAGCTTTAACCACTGCTATCCACACTGGATAGTCAGCTGACCAAAAGACTTAGGAAAACTAAAGGAATTCTTTATTAAGAATCAATTGTGAAGCCAGGTTGTCAGTGGCTCAAAATCTAGCTACTCAGGAGGCTGGGGATTTGAAAATCAGTTGAAAGCTGGCTCAGGTTGGAAAGTCTGTGAGCCTCTTATCTCCAATAATCTACCAAAAAACGTTAAAGTGGAGCTTTGGCTCAAGTGATACAGCACCAGCCTTGAGAAAAAAAGCTAAACACAGTGCCTAGGTCTTTAATTCAAATTACTGAGGTTTGAAAAAAAACACAAAACATAGCAGCTGAAGCTGAAGAGAAGTCAATTCCACAGCAGTCTCTTTTTCCCTCTGTGAAGTTCAATCCATAACAGCTCAAGTCCCACTTTCACTGGCAAGAAACACAAGCCATGTTTTCTGAACCAAGGTCAGAGGGGTCCTAACCCCGACTGTCCTGCTATGGGAGGATGACAGTTTGGGAGCACTGCCAGACTGGGGAGAATACTCACTGAACTTCCTAATTTTTCTGCCAGAATACTGAGAGGGATGACCTTGAAGTCCAGTTTCTTCATAAGTGTCTTTATCCAGGGATAAAATCAACTTCCCTATAAAACAAAGAGTAGTTCCCATAAGAGAGATGCAAAAATTTCCCTGCTACCAGCATAACTATCCAACTATCAAGACCTGATTTATAACACACAGCCACATGAATATGCAGGTAGATACATAGGTATTAACTTGTGTATATTCATCAGTACTATTAACAGCAGTATAGAAATTATCTAAATTTCTATTAAGAAATTATTTTTAAAAAATCATAACATACATACTATTTCAAATATTTCCTTGTGCTTTGGAAGTACTGGGGTTTGATCACAAACCTTGTATCACCTGAATCATAGAGCAGACTCTTTTTTGCTTTAGTTTTCTTTCTTTCTTTTTTATGGTGAGTCTTGAGGCTTGAACTCAGGGCCTGGGCACTGTCCCTGAGCTATTTCATTCAAGGCTATCCCTTACCAATATGAGCCACAATGCTACTTCTGGTTTTCTGGTGGTTAATTGGAGGTAAGAGTCTCCTGCAGCCAGGTGCCGCTGGCTCACGGCTGTAATCCTAGCTCCTCAGGAGGCTGAGATCTGAGGATCACCGTTCAAAGCCAGCCTGGGCAGGAAAGTTTGAGACTCTTATCACCAGAAAACAGGAAGTGGTGCTGTGACTCAAGTGGTAAAGAGCTCACCTTGAGTTCAAGCCCCATGACTGACCAAAACAAAACAAAAGTCTCATGGACTTTCCTGCCCATGCTGCCTTTGAGCTACAATCCTCAGATCTCAGCCTCTTGAGTAGCTAAGGTTACAGGCATAAGCCACCAGCGCCAGGCTACTTTAGTTGTGTTTCAGATAACATTTTTCTTTTTCCTCAGCCTTAGACAATGATCCTTCCATATTTGAATCCTGGGTAGCTGAGATTATAGACAAGAACCACATCAGTTGGTTGAGATGAGAATCTCACTAACTTCTATGCACGCTGGACTCAAATCTTAAACCTCTCCATCTCTACCTCTTGGGTAGCTGAGATTATAGGTGTGCTTTAACATAATTGGGCCTCAAATATCTTTAAAAAATTAAAATCTGTAAGTTACAATCATGTGTGGTGGTACATTTCTATCAGTCCAGCACTACAGCAGCTAAACTACAAGATCTGGAGTTCAAGGCAGTTGAAGTAAGTTCCATGCCTTCCTGGGCTACATGGTAACTTCCTGCTCAAAAACAAACAAATTTAAAAATTTGTGAGAATTCTATGCACTGATATGGAAAGACAATTATGATGTGTAACTCCAGGAAAAAGAACGTTGAATACCAATGCAGCACAATGTAATTCAAGTATAAAAACATTTACATATGTTGATAAAATCATAGAACATGCTGGAAGAATTAACATCAAACTGTTCATTCTAAGAATGGAAGTAAGTCAGGATGATCTAGAGACCATCACTTTACTCTGTATAGATCTACATGGTTGGATCTTTTTTTAAAAAATTATTTTTTATTTTTCTTAGGTAATTCTACAAAGGAGTTATCATTCAAAAAATCAGCTCATAGGTACAATGCATCTTGATCAATAGCACCACTTTCATCGATCTCTCCTTCCCCATCAACACAATGCCTCACTTCAGTTTTATTACTTTCATATGATATGCATTGAATACTATATGTACATTCTTCCCCCTCCCTGACCTTCTTACATACAACTTTCAAGTACCAGTTTCCTGGTACCCATTTTTTTGTATTCCTTTTTTTAAAGAAGTACAATGTTGGAATGAATTCTCCCCTGAAAATATCACATTTCAGCTAATAAATTTGTATATAATTGTATATAACTCCACTTATGTGAATCTGTAACATTTCTAAATTAGTCCTAGCTTCTACATAGGAGATAAAACATGCATACTTTGTCTCCCTTGGCCTGACATACTTCACTCTTTTCCAGATCTACTCATTTCTCTGCAAGTTATATAATATTATTCTTCCTAATAGATGAGTAAAATTCCACTGGGTATATAGACCACATTTTCTGGATCAGTTCATCCACTGAGGGGCACCGTGGCTGATTCCATCCTTGGCTATGATACATAGTCCCACAATGAACATGACTGTGCAAGTGGCTTTACTATATTCTCATTTGTAATCTTTTGGATGAATTCCTGAGTGGTATTGTTGGTATTACAGAATGCATTTTTTTGGGGGGGGGGTCCAGTCATGGGGCCTGAACTCTGGGCTTGGGCACTGTCCCTCAGCTCTTTAGCTCAAGGCTAGCGCTCTATCACTTGAGCCACAGCGCCACTTCCAGCTTTTTTCTTTTTGCTTATGTGGTGCTGAGGAATCGAACTCAGGGCCTCAGGCATGTAAGGCAAGTGCTCTACCACTGAGCCACCTTCTCAGCCCCAGAATGCATTTTTTTATAACGAAAGGGAAAAAGAAAACAATTACCATTGGGTAGCAGACCAACAGTATTATCTTCATCAATATTTGTATTGAATGTCAGTGCATAGCAGGAACCTGTAAGAGAAAGTTAGGAGGAAGAATTAAAACACAGAAGACATCACAAGTTAATGCATTAATTTCATGAGGACAGATCTTCCAGCCACCACACCCCATGTAGCTCAGTGACCAACACACACAAGGGAAGCTGGAAGACATGGAAGGCTGAGCTCCAGCCAGCTCACTCCCCTCCATCAAGTTTTCTATCCTCAGGCAGAAAAATAACGTCGAATGGAACTTAGTCTCTACAGGTGTTAGCAGAAAGGCACCAAGAAAAAGAGCAGGTAGGCAAATACTCCTCAGAGACAGTTCTAGGTTAATAATCAAAAGCTACTCAGTCTTTCTTCATGGGTTACACAGGGATCAGGGGCCTACCTCTTAGATGTAGGATATGAGATATTGAAAAGTGCCTGCCACAAAGTGTCCATGCCATTAACAAAATAACCTCAGACTTTACAGCGGAAAATGCTGATGTAAACAGATGACATGTCCAGCTTCACATGGAGCCCCCAGAGTGACCAGTGATATAGTAACCAGACTTCATAAGCAGGCAGCTACAACAGTGTATGTCCATATATACATGGTGATTAGCTTCTGAGAGGAGGGTGGAATCCCTACAGACACTCTGAAATACAACTTCAAACAATGAATCCAAGAGAACAACTGAAACAAACTAGTCATTATAGTAGATAAAATTGGGACTGAGGGAAACAGAATGAGGTCAGGGACACAAAATCTAAGAAGATTCTCAGGACAGTGTAATCAGAAACTACCACTTAACAGGACTGCAGCAAATGGTAGGACAGGAAAAATGAAGGACAGAGTAATACACACAAGACTACAGATCCTTTCCAAACAAGCGTGTTAGCACTGGTGGTTCATAACTATTATCTTACCTACTCAAAAGACTGCTATCACAGTGCAAAGCCAGTCCAGGCAAGAAAGTTCATGCAACTGTTATCTCCATTTAAATACCAAACATGGGGTTTGGCTCAAAGGGTAGAATGCTAGTGGAAGAAGCTAAGGAACAGCACCCAGTGGGTGAGTTCAAGCCCTGGTACAGGCACAAAAAACAAACAGAACAATTAAAAAAAATAGTCCCAATAACATGCTACAGTCTCCTTGTAGTTCCTCATCTTGCCTTGTTCATTATGTGGGATCATGGTTTATTTGTTTTTTACCTTTCCTTACAAAAGTGTTGATGAATTCATGTGTAATTAATTCATGAAGAGGTAAATTCTTCACAGAGTAATAGGGTCCAGTTTCCATGACCAGGCTTTTCAGTTCTTTTGGTAATATCCCACATTCAGGAATGAGAAATGACACCTATTGCAATACATAATACATTTTCATGAAGATTAACCTCAGATTTTTGGAAGTGAGTGTTGCTATTTCTTCACCAGGTTTGCTGGCAACAAACCTCTGAAGTTAACAGACCAAACAGAGAAATTTAACAACTCAAGTTGTTCACTCCTGCATGGCAACCTAATAGTACAGTAAAGAAATTAAGCAGAAACTTTTTTTTTGTCGGTCGTGGGGCTTGAACCCTAGGCCTGGGCGCTGTCCCTCGGCTCTTCACCTCAAGGAGAGTGCTCTACCACTTGAGCCACAGTGCCACTTCCGGTTTAAGCAAAAACATTTTAATTGGAAGATCTTGCTTGCATTTTACCTTTTGCATATGAGCAATATACTTCAGGTTCTGTTTCTCTTGCTACTTTGTTTTCAAAGAAATGCAATTGGAGAGGCTATTTATTGCCAGGTTTACCTTGGAATCCAAGGAGCACAGGGAATTTAGGAACTCTCAATTATTAATACGCTCCTCAGAGAGCAAAGGGCTCCTGCAGGGTTCAATGTTCTAGAGATGCCACAGGTCAGCCCAGACCTTTCAGGGCAAAACAACTTGACCTACTGACTGAGATGAGCTTTACAAGCAAACCAACAACGTGAAATACCAGCAGATTCCAGCTGTTGCTCAAGTGCTCACACTGAGGCCCAGCCTTAAAGCTCCATCACCAACACCAATGTGTTTCTGAGGGAGCGGGTTACTTAATGTCTGGGACATATCAAACTAACCAATTTCAAATATAAAATGCTTAAACTCGTGCCATCTTAGTTAGGTTTGGGGAATTTCTCGATTATCAAATCGGCTCCCATCAACGGGTTAGCAAAGCAGGTGGCTTCTTGAGCCAGGGCAGGACAAGGGGCTGGGAAGAGGCGGGGGTAGACCAGCTGGCCACAGAGGGAATCGGGCTGTGGGAGGACACTGCGGTGGGAAGGAGGCACGAGACACCAGCCGATTTCATGTGGACAGCTGCACCTCAGGACAGGCACAGCTGCCCAACTGCCCCGTCCCCGCCCAGCCCCTCACAGGGCTCTCAGAAACAATATTCCGGCTGCTGGGACCCGTTAGAAGTTAAGACGCGCTTTGGACAGCAAGAACCAGACTCTGCGGGTCCTACCCTCAAAGGAGCCCTGCCAGCACGGCATCCTGGGAGTTGTAGTCCTGCACTGCAGAGCTCTACGGGGCCAGAGCACCGCGGAGACTACAACTCCCAGGATGCCTAGTGATGGCCCGCCCCTCACCGACAGGGAGACTACCGCCACGCGAAGAGTGGTGAGACGTTTCCCCAAACCCTGTCGCGGCCTTAGCGTGCACGGAGGACGCCGGCTCACCCGGTAATTGTGATAGTGCGCCTCCACTAGATGCCGGTGGCGTGACTTGTGGTGGCTGAAGTTGGATCTCTCGCAGACTAGCAAGTGCCGGGGCGCCTCTCGAAGCCTTCGCAGCGTGGTCATAGTCTCCACCGCTCTGGGACTGCGCTCAGCGCCAGCTCTGGGGCTCCTCCCTTTTTCCTCTTCCCGCCCCTTGGCCACGCCCATGGGTCCCTAAGCCAATCAGTCACCGGCACCGCCTTTATGCCTCTCCCACCCAGGCCACCCTGACCGTGCGCAGTGCTGCCTCCGGACGACTGTCCTGGGCCCCTGCAAAGTTGAATGCTGGGGAAGTATCCGTGCGGGAAGCTCCCTGTTGGTGTCTGCAGCCGTCAATCCACTCGTGGAGAAGCACCTTTCTGGCTCGCGGGAAGCTAGTAGGAACCTTTTTAAAGCATTTCCTTTCTTCCCTCCATCCCTTAGTTCTTCTGAACCCCTTGGCTGGTGGCTGAGCTGCCCCTACTTGCTTGGGCTGGACCCCCACCCCCACCCCGCTCCCACCGGTCCCCGTTCCCTTGGATCGTAGAAAGAAGGACATTTTTGGAAAGTCCCAACACAGCCCAGAAATTCAGCCACCAAGTTCAGTGGTCGTAACGCAGTTTGGGTGTACTTTTCTGACTCCACATGGTCTGTTTTTGCAAGATTTTCTTGTTATCCAAAAAGTCAAGACGTTTGAGAAGGAAAATAATACATGGGTTTTGAATTTTAGTCCTGAAATAAAACTCTTTTGGAACTACTTTAAAAAAAAATTACCGCATCCTGGCTCAAGCCTGTAGTAAGCCTAGCTACTCAAGCAAGAGGCTGAGATCTGAAGATGGCAGTTGAAAGCCAGGCCAAGCAGGAAAGTCCATGAGACCCTTATCTCCACTGAACCCCCAGGAAATCGGAAGTTGCACTTGGCTCAAAGTAATAGAGCAGTGGCCTTGAGCTGAACAGATCAGGGACAGAGCCCAAGTGCAGAGTTCAAGCCCCTCGACCGAAAAGAATAAATTTATCATAATGATAAATTGTTCTTCCATTTTTTAAATAAACCCCAAATATTACAACACTATATGGTTCTTAAACCAGATAGTTCATAGCTCCAATTTTGCACAGCGAGGTTGCACAGCATTCTACAAGAGTAGGAATAATGAAGCTAAGTAATTTACAAGGCAAATAATAAAAATATTGAAAACTGAAACCATTTTTTTAAATATGTGTAATTGTATTTTTATTATTTAGATCTTTTACGGAAGGGTTACCATTGCACAAGTCAGGTAATGAGTACATTTCTTTTCTGGACAATGTTACCCTTCCTTCACTTCACCCAGGTTCCTGGTATCCCCCTCCAGTCCCTGCACACAATTTACATAACTCCTTTTCTCACATAGTGTATACTGAACAACATGATTGTGTTTCTTCATCCTTCCTCCATTTCTGTGCCTACCTTTGTCCTCACTAAAAAGAAAAACAAAACATACCATCAACAACAATAAAAAAAAAACCCACCATATTGTTTTGTGTGTTGTGAGTGTTGTTGTAGTGGTCCTGGGGCTGATACTTGGGCCTGGGTGCTATCTCTGAGTTCCTTTATGCTCAAGGCTATGGCTCTATCATGTGAGCCACAGCACCACGTCACAAAACCCATGTTTTCATTTTTTGAATTTCATTTGGATAAATAGTAATTTAAATGTTCAGAAGAGTTACTCCTTTGAGTTCTTCTCCTGAAAGTATCTTCCTTTACTCAGACTGTGTGTGAATGCCTGAAGTCCTGCAAAGGTTATCATGTCCAGTTATATTTTATATGTACCTTCCACATGTGAAAGAAAATATGAGTTGTGTTTCTTTCTGAGCTTGGCTTACCTTACTTAACATGACTTATTCTAGGTCTATCCATTTCCCTGCAAGTGACATACTCTTATTCTAAAGGATGAATAAAATTCCACTGTATATATGTACCACTCTTTATTTATTTACTCATCTATGAAATGAGTCATCTTTTCAGAAGATTATGGGAAGCAATTGCTGTGATATTAAAAAAAAAAAAAGGTGTGGGGAGGAAGCACAAAAACTCAAGTGAATCCCAGGCAGGTTAAATGAGGGAAAGGGAAACATGGGAAATTGCAGCCAGGAATCAAGCACTGAATCACTGAGTAACTCTATTAGAAACACACAGGCACTGTTTTCTTTGCTTAAAACATTATGTCCTCTCATATGATACATTAGTAGTAAAGAGAGGAGAAAATAAAGGAAAAGGAAGCCTGGTGCCTGTGGCTCATGCCAATAAACCTAGCTACTCAGGAGGCTGAGGTCTCTGGATTGTGGTTCAAACCCAGCCTGGGCAAGAAATTCCGTTAACCACCAACAAACCAGACATGGCGCTATGACCGACGTGGTAGAATGCTCGCTGCCAGCTAAAAAGCTCAGGGACAGCACCCAGGACCAGAGTTCAAGCCCCACAAAAAAAGGAAAAAGATCAGCTCTTTCCCTCTGAATCTGAACTTGCCCCCCTTGCCAAAAGTAGTGTGCTCTGGAAACTAAGGATATATGAAAGAAAGACACAAACTGGGAGGGAAACACTCAGAAATAGGACTTCACTGGATATAAAATATGTTTTAAACAATTATCTAAAGATGGACACCTGTCTTGAAAGGAAGGTGTGGCAGAATCCATCCTGTTTGAAGGGGAATGAGCAGGCTAACCTTGACAACTCTAGCCCCAATTGATGAAACAGTAACAGCAAGACTGAGAGGGATGTACCAGGTGTGGGAACCAAGGAAAATTATTCATCCTCCAGTGAGCCTAAGAAATCCCCCACCCTACTATTAACAGATATGATGTTAACTACTCATCCAACCTGCTATTCAATGTGCCACACCCACATTTGGATGTGTACTCTCTCTCTTTCCTTCACTTTGCTTTACCAGGAAACTTTCTTGATCTTTACCTTGTTGTGTCCTCAAGTTGTTTTTAAAACAATATCAAGAACTCAGCACCCAATGGCCAGGCAGAGGCCTTTTCCCTTTTAGAGACCTTCTCCCAGAAGTGGTGCCTGTTAGCAATCTGGCATCAAAATGCGCAGAAAGACAAACAGTGCCAGGTGCTGATGGCTCATGCCTGTAGTCCTAGCAACTCCAGAGGCTGAGATCTGAGGATTGCCATTCAAAGATCTCCAGTGAACCATCAAAAAGTCTGTTCTGCTGGCAGGCTTTCCCCTCCTGCCGTGCCTCCACTCCCATTCCTCTCCTTCCTCCACACTAACTGTAAAGGGGTGTCCTCTGGACTCCCCTCTCCTCTGGTGTCCAGGTGTTGCCAGGACTCCTCTCTCCTCCCTCAGGACTATTTTCCCCCTAACCTCCCCTGTGGCCTCGGAGCCTGCAGCCTGTATATACCCAGATAGCTGGGCCCCTCCCCCACTAATGGTTTCAAACCGCCATTCTTGCTCCTCCCCCAAGCTGCCCCCTGTCCAATCCCAATAGGCAGCTAGCCATGTGGGGCTCCATGCCCCACACCCTCCAGTACCATGCCCCGCCCCTCCAGTGGAGCCCATTGGGGCTCTCAATGCCCTTATCTGTCTGATGGCCTGGTCTGTGGAGCAGTGAGGCTCACCTCTTATGCCCTGCCCCCTCCAGGCGGCCTGACCAAGGGGCCGTGCAGACTCTTGGGCCCCGCTGATTATCAGGGCCTCACCGGTTATTTCAGTATCAATGGGTACCAAAGTGCAGCTAGAGAGGGAAAAGTAGTTCCAATGTTCATAGTGTAAGGTCTGCCCCGGGCCACGCAGGTCCTGTGCAGACACCTCCCTACCTCTTGGCTAAGTTTCCACCAACTATGTGTTACTTAGGTAACTGGCACACCTGGAAGCAGTCACCTCCCTCTCCAGGCTGGGTCACATCCTGGGCCACCTCTGGTCACAAGCCTCCCTCCCAGCTGACTTCTCAGGCCCTGAGATCACTTCTGGATCCAATGTGGCCACACCTTTCCCCCACCTGGCCCCACCTCTTCCTGTCACTGGCCTAGATAAGTCCTGGCCTGGGGGTGGGGGAGAGGGTGGGGATTGGGGGTGGGGGAGTGTGGTTGTTCCTTTTGGCCATGCCTCTCCACCCTGCAAGGCGGGGACAGCAGTTTGGTAAATAAAATACTTTTCCTGCCTGAATAGTGCCTGGTGTTCTCTTCATCAACTACCTAGTGAAACCTATCTACTTAATATACCTTACACATAGCACAGGAGGGTAACTATTGTCTATAACAATTATGCTTTCAAATTACTCGATGAGAAATGTGTGAGGATCCACAAGGAGGAATAATAACATGAGGAGATGGGAATGTTAATCATCCTATTTTATCATTATTAAATGTGTACATGTATCAAATTGTAATCATATGTCCCATGACTTAATACAAGTATGTGTTAATTAAAAATAAAAATTTTAAGCTGGGTACTTGTGACTAATGCTTATAATCCTAGCTACTCAGGAGACTGAGAACAGAGTGAGAATCAGTGTTCAAAGCTAGCCTGAATTGGAAAGTCCTTGAGACTCTTGTTTCCAATTCCCTACCAATGGCTCAAGTGGTAGAGTGTTAGCCTTGAGCAAAAAGGTTCAGAGACAACACCCTGGCCCTTAGTTCAAGCTTCAGGACCAGCACAAAAATCAATCAGTCAATCCAATGTCAACATCACCTCAGACCTTGAAGACATAACTGATCCATATGGATTTGATGAAAACAAATGTAGTAACAAAATTAATTTTTCTAAAACCATAGCCAATAGATTTTTGGTGAAATTGAAATGCCTTTAATCATGTGTATATTTAGTAAATGTAAAGTGACAAAAATTTTCCACATCAAATTTTTGGGTCTTAAATGCTATAAAATTAGCAATAAGAGACAGTCAACTATCTAGAGGACTAAGACATTCTTTAAATTAATGCCTGGGCTAAGGTAAAATCTGAGACAATTATAGTACCTACAGTATACATATTGCAAAAATCTCATATCCAACCATGTGTTGGTGGCTCAAGCCTATAACCATAGCTACTCAGGGGGCTGAGATCTGAGGATCGTGGTTCAAAGCCAGCCAGGGCAGGAAAGTCCATGGGACTCTTA